AAAAAAAAATGTTAACTCTACAATCAACTACAAACGATTCTGGACCAGAATTCATTAAAGTTTAAGCGGTAGCTGTAAAAAGCTTCATATAAGTTTTTTTTTAAAAAACGCATTACGCACTTATTTTCAACTAAAAAAAAATTTTTAAATATACAATCAACTACAAACTATTCTGGACCAGAATTCATTAAAATTTAAGCGGTAGCTGTAAAAAGCTTCATATAAATTTTTTTTAAAACGCATTACGCACTTATTTTTCAACTACAAATAAAAAGAAATTTACTACAATCCTCCAGAGAGTTAATAATAATATCCCAACGGTTTTTACCCTCCTTTCCCGCCCATCCGCAGTCCGCATGACGTACGGAACCAATATTTTAAATTTTTGTGCCGAGTCACGATAGGCAGGAGTTTGTTAAGTGTCGAGATCTAAAACTGTTCAGCTACAGAACTAAATTCATCAGCTGAGTTTATGTATTTATGTCAATAATTCACTTATTGAGAGAGGAGAGTACCGCTTTCTTAATGCTGAAAAGCGGATCTGATATATAAAACGTGCTGGAATGAGAGTTAAAATCCTGGCATAAGCAACGGAGTGGGTCGTGCAATTCAAAATTGGTTTTACAAGCTTTCCGAAATATGGGACAAAAGTGTCTTGATACGCGTGAGGGAACATTAAAGCTTACATCAGCCAGAAGAGACGGACTTGAAATTGAGCCTGTCAGTAATTTAACCATAAAAATTATAGCAAGCATTTCCCTGCGACTGGCAAGTGTAGGAAGGTTAATAAGTTTTAAGCGACTCGTATAAGGTGGAAGACTATATTGAGAATCCCATCGTAAATTTCTTAAAGCAAAAAGTAGGAATTGTTTTTGAATTGATTCTATCTTGTCTGAGTAAATTTTATACCTTGGATTCCAAACCACCGAGCCGTATTCCAGAATCGGCCTAACTAATGTTGTAAACAGGGTTTTAGTGATATAAGGGTCACTAAATTCTTTTGACCATCGTTTCACAAATGCAAGTACACCTTTAGCCTTGTTGACTGTCACATTAATGTGAAGATTAAAATTAAGCTTAGGATCCATTGTGATACCAAGGTCCACAAAATTGTATACCTGTTCCAGGTTATGGTTACCTATTATATAAGAAACTGGCAGAACAGCTCTTCGCGAGAAGCACATTACTTTACATTTCTTAAGATTTAGAGGCATAAGATTTACTTTACACCCGTAAGCCATACTGTTTAAGTCTGATTGTAGCAAAGACCTTTCTTTAATTGAAACGTACGATTTATAAAGTTTTACATCATCTTCATACATTAAAATTTTGGAGAATTTTATATCTGTAGAAATATCGTTTATAAAGCGCAAGAACAGAATCGGGCCTAGGTGGCTACCATGAGGGACTCCTGAAGTAACATCAATGACGTCAGAGATAGTATTTTTAAACAATACCCTTTGTGATCTATCATAGAGGTATGAAGAGATCCAACGTAGAAAATTAGGTGGAAGACCAAGAAGATCAAGTTTATAGATGAGCAACGAGTGGCACACTTTGTCAAATGCTTTACTGAAATCAGTATATATAACATCAACAGTTTTGCTCTCACTAAATGCTTTTGAGATATAGGATGTTAATTCAAGTAAATTTGTAGAAGTTGATTTGCCCTTGCAAAATCCATGTTGACTGTATGAAATGCTTGAAGTGATAGAATGCGTCAACCGATTTGTTATAATTGCTTCAAATAATTTAGGAATTGCAGAAAGCTTAGCTATGCCCCGGTAGTTCTCCACTGAAGACCTGCTACCGCTTTTATGTAAGGGGGTTATGAACGATTCCTTCCATACAGTTGGAAAAACGCCCTCTTTAAGAGACAAATTAAATAAGGCTGTTAACGGCTCATAGAGATAATCAGCACAATTTCTAAGAAAACAAGTGGGGATCTGGTCAGGACCATAACTAAAAGACTGCTTTAAGGACTTCAGGTAAACTAAAACATCATCGGGAGATATTATAGGGTTATGTATTGAGTTAATTGGACTTAGTTTAAAAGGATAGTCAAAGTATGCTTGGGAGTTAGTGGAATAATTGGATTTAAAAAACTGAGCGAACATGTTAGAAATTGTTTGATTATCACCAGAGACGGTATTTTGATACTTCATGGCGGAATGAAACCCACGTACATTTCGCTTGGAGTTTACGAAATCATAAAATGATTTGGGGTTATATATTATACGTCGTTTGATTTTACACAAGTAATCTTTATAACACTTTTTGTTGAATTCAAAGAACTTGTGACGCAAAAGTGAGTATTTAACATAGTATGAGTGTAAGCCGG